TTTTTTTTTTAAGCATTCACCTAAGAGATGAATTTCTTCACATTAAACCCAGTTAAATATGTATTGCACATGAGGGACGAATTTCTCCTCTTTGAGTTGAACTGTGGAACTGTGCCCTTCAGAGCAGATCTGGGTGACGCAGAGCGCAGTTGTGTCACACCTGAGATTCCTGTTGCATCACCCTTAGTTATTAAGTGACAAGATGGGTGTATTTGGTCACTTTTCTCTCTCTTCTTGTCCCAGGGACTGGAGCAAGGTTCTAGAAGCAAAAGGAGGTATCCAAAGAGAACTTGCTATGATTAAAGTCTTTGGTTCCCACAGATGTTGGTGGATTTTCTAAATGGAAGTCATGAATAAAACAGACTAGCAAAAAATGTCATTTTCTTCTTTAGCTACATTATTTTTCCTTTGGAATTCATGGGAGATTTGCAATCAAATTCAAAAGATTGCATGGTATTATTTTGCTCCACAGTGATGTTGGTTTGCATGATTTCAGTTTAAAACATCAAAGGTGTTTTATTTATTATCAGGGCTTTATAGGGATCTCTACTACCACTGTATAACCTTTTTATACAGATCTGCTTGTGAATGAAGCAAGTGCAAAACATGACAAATTCTCCATTAATTCCCCACAAGCTAGAGCTATACAAGTGGTGCAGATCAAGGGAACTTTGAAATGGTCTTGAAATCCACAGTTAAAAATCAAAGACAGTAATTTTACCCTTCATTTCTATACACTTGCAGTGTAGCACCTGATTTCTTCAGTTGTCAAGGCATGGTGTGAGCTATGCTTTAAACTGATGGCTGAAGTTCTGCCTGCGAAAGCAAAAAAAAGAGCCAACTCCGATGATGATCACAGATAACACCAGAACAAATGTTAATATAATAAGAAAGTTGATTTTCTTTAAATCCTCTTTTTCACAGTCCTCTGGCCTAATGTTCCCAATGTGCATTTCTTCCTCGTACCCAAAGTTCTGAGTGTACTGGCATGTTAAGTGCTCTGCATTGGGGATATGCACGTTTTTGTTCTGGATCATCGATGAAAGCCAGATGTTTCCACAGCAATTGAGTGGGTTACCAGTGAGATATAAGTTCTTAAGGGAGTTTTCTAATGCTAAAATGTTGCTGTTCTGTAGTGAACTAAACCTATTGTTCCGTAGGTCCAGAACTTCCAATGGTGAGCCATTACCCCACGTAGGTAGCCAAGTCAGCTGATTTTCAGAGAGGTTTAAGTGTTTAAGGTGACTAAAGCAAGGCAAGTCAATATTTAATTCTGTCAGGCCATTACCATGTAAATACAAATGTTCTAGAGACCTTTCCAGTCCTGATAGTGCTTTCACTTCTATTTTCAGTCCTGGATTCATGGAGACATCCAAGGCAATCAAGGAAGTCTTATAGAAAGTGTACGATGGTAGGATGGTCAACATGTTGTCAGCAAGGTACAAGTACTGAAGATCAGGAGAATCAACAAATGATACACAGCCACTTTCCTCTCCAGCAAGCCTTTGCTTGGCCAGTCCTGAGTACATGCTACAAAGGCTGATATTATTGCTCTGTCCATTAAGCAGTTTGAGGCTAGAAAGACTTGAAAAGATGTCAAACTGCAGGATCTGAAGGTTGTTGTTTTGAATATAGAGCTCCTTCAAGTTTGACAATATTCCAGCATCGAGGAAAAGGTTCTGCAAACCATTGTAGCTCAAGTCGAGGATGGTTAGGGAGATCAGTGTGCTGTCATAAGCTACTGTAAAAGCCTGGAGACAGTTTTTACTGAGATTAAGGGTGTGAAGGGACAACATTGATTCAAAGAACTCATTTGGAATAGATTTGATTTGATTATAACTTAAGTCTAAATATATGAGTTGGGATAAATAAAGAGAACTTTTATTTCTACTTTGCTTCTGATCAAGAAAATGAAAAGATGCATCTACCCAGTCTTTCTCCATATAGTCCATTTTATTATGAGGGGATTCTGCAGTGAGCTGAATTAAATTCTTTGATAAGTTCAGAATTACCAGCTTGTTCACTTGGGGAATGACCGGGAAAGTGTGGAGTTTGTTTTCACTCAAATCCAAGCTTCTTAAGCTATACTCATCCTCAGACTTTGTGGTATGGAAGCTCTCAATGCTGTTCCTGCTAAGGTCAAGTACTTCCAATTGCCTGAGGTTGAAATCAGAGATGCAAGTAATTGAATTCATGGAGAGGTTGAGTTTGGAAAGGTTCACTAGAGTCTCAAAAGCACCTTCTTCTATTTCCATGATGATATTTCTCTGGAGATCTATCTCCAGAAGATTGGGAGAACCCTGAAACATATTCTGTGATATCATTATAATACTGTTGTCCGCCAAGGAGAGATACTGCAGTGCTGGAGCTTGTTTAATGAAATACTCAGCCATACCATTGTAGAGACTGTTGTGGGATAAGTCCAGTATTTCCACCTTAGGTAAAAATCCAATCCCCACTGTCGTATTCTGAGCAAACTCATATAAATTGTTGTTGGCTAAGTTTATTTCCCGCAGTCTTGTCATTTGTACGAAGACTCCTGGCTTGATGAAGCTTATCTGGTTAGAGCTTAAATCCAGGCACTGGAGGGAAGTATAAAATGATAATGGCATTTCAGGAATGCTTTGAATCAGGTTTCCAGACAGATCAATTTTGTTTACATTCAGATGAAGCTCGTGAGGGATTTGGTGAAGGTCTTTGCTGTGGCAAAATGCCTGCATGTTTACCTGCCGGAGAAAGAGAGAAAAGGGGTTGACACCTGAGAAATGTACAATAGCCTTGCATGAAATATAAATAAAATAACATTCAGCACCCATTCAGATACTTTTGAAACCTTGGTCATATTATTTTCTTTGAGCATTCAGTCAACAAGCACAAGCACCCCAACACTTCTTT